CACACAAATGCTGACCTTGGCTGTGAATTGGAGCAGCAAAAGCAAACTTGGTCATTGAAGTCCTTGGCTTCTACTTCACCTTTAATTGTCTGAATGAATCTGGACGCAGCTGTCTCTCTGGGGTGGGTGTGTGTTGGTGTGTGTACTAGTTAACTGCTGTTCTATACACCTGTACACACCTGCCCTATGGAAGAGACAGCTCTCATCCAACCAAGACATATATCATCAACATATACCAGCAAAGAAATAAATGCAGCCAAACCAAGTCAAGCCAGTCCCACTCCTGACTGCTTTTTCAGATAGACTGTTCAGTAGAGAAAGCATTCCCTGATTCCAGTGGGAATTACAAAAGCTCTCAGGAGAGCACAGTGTGGGCTAAGTGTTGACATATGGGTATAGGTAAGAAGGCCAAGTCTACCAGGTGGACCAGACGTTTAATGTGAACTTCCGATGTAAAGCTTTCAACATTCAAATAATCATACAGCAGTTAAATCCTACTAAATAAAATGAAGAAATAATATGTATTAGATGTAAGCACCCAAATTGTTTCCCATATTTTAAAATAATGTCTGTACGTGATTAGAACTTGGCACGCTTCCTACCGCAGGGCACTTTCTCTAGGAACCTAACCTGGCGGGAAACATTTTGTGAAAAATAATTTACTATCCAGAAAGTTTCCCTGTTTCCAAGATAAGAAAGCCTGTTCTGCCATCCCAGCAGGCAAGGGTTGTTTAAGTTACTAGATAACAAAGTTGGTATTGATTCTATTATTTTTACTCTCTCTGATTCCCTACACTCCACAAGGAGTTTGTCAGACCAAGAATGATTTTTACAAAAAAAAAAAAAAAAAGTAGCTGTTATTGTTGTACTGGCCTCCTTGTGACAGATGGGATCCCAGTGTTTTCCCACTGCCCTTTACCCAGGAACAGAAAGCAAATAACCAAGAAACCAACACAGTCCTAGTAATCTGGATTTCTCAGCGTTGAGCCAGAGGGCTTGGAAATCAAATATTGGCTCCTCCTGCACACCCCTTTTAGCCTGTTGTTGTTAACCAGTTTAACATTCCCTTATCACATGCTCATGTGGGCAGAATTAAATGGAATTAGCTTCAAATTATATAAAATTCATTTACCTTTAAAGGAAGCTATTTGGTCATGTTCAAAGTAGGGAGAGTATTGCATTAAGACACAAGCTAATGGTTCTGCCTGGAGATGGATCAATTTGCTTTGGTTTTATTGCCTCCCTTTATTTGCCCTTAAGTGTTAGCTACTGGGGCTGGAAATGCTCCACTCAGCCCCACAGAGCCCACATTGGAGCCACACTAACAGCCCAAGGATAGCCTCGCTGTTTCTAAAGGGCTCCAGCCAGGTAAGCACAATAATAAGATCACGCTAATCCCTTCTAAAGCCTTAGTCACATAAAGGAAGAATGGATGTGCAAGAGAGAAAGGGAAATCTATGAAAATGGCCAGGGCGCACGTGTGTTTTGTCCATATAGAGTCAAAGACATCTCCTGAGCCGCTGCTTTCTGCCCTGTCTTACATATTTTCCCAACGTTTAGTTGAACTTCACAACAACCAATGACATAGATACATATGTTTACTTGTATGTCCATCTACTAAGAGTATATAAGAGTCTCCATATACATCAAATAAATTATAGCTAAAATGTTATGGATGTTATTATTATTCTCGATTTGTAGTGTGCATAAGAATTACCATGAATGTGTTTAAAATGCAGGTTCCCAAACACTCCCTCCATATTGTCATTCAGTAGGTCTGGGGTCGGGTTCAGACATTGCATGTTATAAGCATTCCAGTGATTTTGATACACACGGTCCGTGAATCATCTCTCCAGAAACACAGCCCTATGATCCACATTACTGCATTCACCAGCAGAAGTCCCCATCACTGTAGGATTTCATCAAGATAAATGTGTTGCAATATGGAACTGAAGGGGGATGGCACTGTGGCTTAGTGGGTAAAGCCACCACCTGCAGCGCTGGCATCCCATGTGGGCGCCAGTTCAAGTCCCAGTTGCCCCTCTCCTGATCCAGCTCTCTGCTATGGTCTGGGAAAGCAATACAAGATGGCCCAAGTCCTTGGGCCCCTGCACCTGCGTGGGAGACCCAGAAGAAGCTCCTGGCTCCTGGCTTCGGATCGGCCCAGCTCCAGCTCTTGCAGCCATCTGGGGAGTAAACCATGGGATGGAAGACCTCTCTCTCTCTCTCTCTCTCTCTCTCTCTCTCTCTCTCTCTGCCTCTGCTTCTCTGTAGCTCTGCCTTTCAAATAAAATAAAAAATAAATCTAAAACAATATGGGGGGCCGGTACTGTGGTGTAGCAGGTAAAGCCTCCAGTTCGAGTCCCGGATGCTCCACTTCTGATCCAGCTCTCTGCTGTGGCCTGTGAAAGCAGTACAAGATGGCCCAAGTCCTTGGGCCCTGCACCCACGTGGGAGACCCAGAAGAAGGTCCAGGCTCCTGGCTTTGGATTGGCACAGCTCCAGCCGTTGTAGCCAACTGGGGAGTGAACCATCGGATGGAAGACTCTCTCTATCTCTCTCTCTTCCTGCCTCTCCTTCTCTCTGTGTGTAACTCTTTCAAATAAATAAATAAATAAATCTTAAAAGAATATATGGAACTGGAGAAAACAGGAAATACATGCATGGTGTATTCCCTTACCATTTTCCCTCACAACGTGCTACGAGGCCACGTCTACCATAGGGAGAATTACTAACAGGAAAATCCAATGATCTTGTGACAACAGTGAGCCCTTTACAGGGTGTGTGGATGGAGCCTCAGCAGCCACAGTGAGGGCCTTCCTTTGTGCAGCTCTGGGTCTGGCACTGACCCTCCCATTTTAATCCTATAGATGTCTAGTTTTGACCTTTTCATATGGGTCTTGGATTTGGGGGACACACACAGAGTCACCCTGATGGGGGAGTCCTGTACTCCCACAAAGGTGACCAGGTTGCCCATGACTTCCTTCCCGATTTGGAAAAAAACAGGAATGGGACAGGATTCCAGCCCTGCTCTGACCAAGGAACTGGACTATTGTTTGTCCTGAGCTGTTTTGGGGTTTCCTCTGAGTCTATGCTGGTAGCTTTATCTCTAACCCAGAAATGATAGAAAGACAGACAATGGGATGAGGGTGGGCTCTGGCTAGATGATGTCATTGGAACACTGGCTTCACATCTCCTGGCCTGGGCTAACAAAGCATTGTTGGCTGTGACTTACTCACCTTTCAGAGTTTCAGGTCTTTCTCCCAGCCACCCTGGCTGTGGCAAAGGAGAAGGCCCTGCCCCTCTTCCATACCTGTCTCTTTCATCTCTTTGGTGGGGCCTGTTTCCTCCAGGTCCTACTCCTCTGCCCGCTTAAGCAGGGTCCCACCTATCCAGTGCTTCCTCTCAAGGTTCCTGAATATACCTGGCCAGGACTACCTGTCTTTGGACTAGGGCTTGTGTGCAGTATCTCTGCAGTCCTTTGGATGCAGTACTTACCCACAGTTAAATGCTTGTGGGTGCATTTGAAGCAATGCCAGGAGAGAAAGGAAGACATGAACATTAACGGAGCACCTACCAAGTACCAAGAGCATTTGACATTGAATTTGCACCAAAAGGAAAAACATTTCTTGAGCGCCTAGTACAGCAAGGTAGTACATTGACATAACCAACAGAATGGATTCTGAAGTCAGGTCACCTTAGCGTGAGTCTAGGCTCTGCCACTTACTCTCTATGACTCTGGGCAAGTAACTTAATACTACTGTACCTCATCTTCCACTGCACAGTGAGGATCTCAGTGCCTAGCTCATGGGATTTTTTTTATGAGGATTAACGTACGCAAAATGTTTGAAACAGTGCCTTGCTCCGTGTGTTTTGCTAATATTGCCATTATTATTACTATACTTCATGAGATCTTGCTATGGTTTCCATTTTACAGGGAGGTTTAGCAAAGTTGTGTAACTTCTAAGAGACACAAGGCAGAGCCACATTTGAAAGATGAGCATAGGGACCAGCATTGTGGTGCAGTGGGTTAAGCGGTTAAGCCACTGTCTGGGATGCCCAACATCAGATGGAATTCCAGGCTCCTGGTTTCAGCCTGGTCCAGCCCAGGGGCACTGTGGCCATCTGAGGAAGAAAGCAGCAGGTGGAAAGTCTCTTTCTCTGTCTGTCCCTCTCCCTCTGTCACTGGGCCTTTCAAATAAATTACTCGTTAAAAAAAAAAAAGTTTATTCAGCTCCCAAGAACTCACAATCACCCACTAAAACCAGGGTGTATGTCCACTTCCTAATTTCTGTGAGACAAAGAGATTTAGGCAGGGCCAAAGTAAGGGCTGTGATAGGCATTTGATCAGGATTGTTGAAAAGACTTGCTCCTTCAAACCAACAAGCCACGTGAAATACAAAGGGTTGAGCCAGTCCCGGGAACTGGACAGTGTGGGTTAAGCCTTCTCTGGGCTCTGGCAGAAAGCTAGAGGTAAGGAACTAGTCCCAGGAAAACAAAGACTCAGTCACAGGAACCAGTGGTGGGGGCAGGGAAGAAGGCAAAGAAAGGAGCTGGTTATGGGGGCTTAGAAGGAGAAGGCAGTGGGCAAGGCTAGGATTTCTGGAGACTGCGCATCTGTAGAACAGAGCTGGAACCAGGAGCCTGGGTAGGAGCAGGCCAGTGCGAAGTGGGGAGGCCTAGGGAATGGGGGGGGGGGGGGGGGGAGAAGGAGGAAGGGGAGGGAGTAGCAGAGACCTTAGATCCTTAGGAGACCCAACTTCTTTTCATGCTTTCCTTTGCACCCCAAAGTGATCCAGAGACCAAGGGAAGAAAGGACTGGGGGGGGGGGGA